GTTATTACCAGCCCAAAATGGCGGCACGCCACTTAAAAGGATGTATAAAATAACTCCGGCACTCCATACATCAATTTCCTTTCCATAACTTCGCTTCAAAACTTCGGGAGCCACATAATATGCACTACCAACTATATCTCGATACACTTTACCTGGAATTCATTCGACAAGCAAAATCCGTAAAAATAGATTTTACTAAAATCAACAAACGAATAATTATTCGGCACAAAGATTCAATTTTTCAGCATTGCAACATCTCCACCCTGAAAACCTAATGACTTTGTCTAATAGCGGACGGTCAAAAAAAATCAGGACTTTAACAAACACATTTAACTAATGTATTTAGAGCTAAGGGAGAAGAAGAGAATATTTAGATTGCATAATAAGGTGTGCTTCATTTTCTTAAAGGCAAAACTCTTAACACTCTCAATGCAAGAAACACTTATTAAGAATGCTTCTAAGGCTAAGGCTAGCTTATTTGGTTAGCTTATAAGTGTCTTGTATTCAAATAAACTTCGTTTGCTAGAACGAGCTTTTTAAAAAAAGTTCGAGCTATAAGCTTCTTGCTTCTTTGAGTAACTTTTCGTTGAAATTTTTATTTCAACTAATTACCAAACACTTTTATCATATAAACTAGCTTTTCACTATAAGTTATAAGTTATAAGCTCAAAAATCACTGATAAGCTATAAGCTAGCTTATCAGCTATCAGCTAGTTTTTTTATCAAATGTACTCTAAGTGGATCGATCAAACAGCCTCAACTTCCTACGCACGCATTAATCGGACAAACAAAATTGACCAAACAACATCACACAAACCAAATTTCCAATTTTTTTTTCCCCCCAAAAACAATACAAATACTCGCAACAAAGCCATAACAAGATTCAAGAAAGTCACACACAAACCTTCCTCAATAAAAACAGACAGCCCAAAATCGGTTGCCTTCAAAATCATCGGCTTCTCATTCTTGCTCGATAGCAAGAAATTCTCCGGTTTAAGATCCCTATGCATCACCCCCATAAAATGGCAATGGTGCACAACATTCACAATCTGCCTACACAGATCGGCCGCAGCTTTTTCCGAGTAATGCCCCTGAGCAATAATGCTGTCGAACAATTCCCCGCCTTTACAAATCTCCATCACCAAGTGAACTGTCATTCTATCTTCATACGCGCCTTTAAATTCGACTATATTCGGCTGCCCGCTCAAATGCTGCATGATGTGAACTTCTCTCTTCATGTCCTCACGGTCGTTCTTGCTCACGAGCTTCCTCTTCAGGATCGATTTGCAGGCGTAGTGGGCTCCGGTGGAGATTTCGGTGCAGGAATAGGTTACTCCAAATTGGCCGCGGCCGAGCTCTTTGCCGATGGAGTATTTTGATTTTACCTCCTCGAAGGGCTTGCCGAGGATGTTGTTGGGTTCTAGCTTTTGGGCCGGCGGAGTTTTGGGAGGCGAGTGGTGAGTTGCCGGCGGTTGGCGGTGGTGGGGTTTTTCCAGCAGCGGCTGGGATTGGGGATGAGGGTTGTAATGGGTTTGGTGAGCTTGGTTTTCTGATCGGAAGCCATTGGCAGGAGGATCTGGGGTCAACAACTTGTTCTTGCTAAAACATCCACCCATATTTCTTTAATAAACCCCAGAGGGATCAAGATTGCAACTTTATGAATGATTATTGGAAAAAGAAAAAAAAAAAATCCGGAAGAAAGGGAAAAGGGTTCAGAATCTTGACGGGGAGGAGTTTTCTTCTATATATATATATGCAAATCGGTGAAGTCAGTGAAGAAAAGATTCAAACTTTACGAAGAAAAATTGGGGGAATTGGAAAGGAAAGGAAAATTGGGATGAAATCTATAGAAAGATTGTGATTTTCGCACACGGGATTTGTGATTGCAAGCAATCAAAGCACACGGGATTAAAAATATTGAATTTGGAAACTGCGAAGAGCTCTAGGAAAAATAAATAATGGTGATTTTCCTTCTTTTTTTTTTTTTTTTTTTCTTCGTTCTGTTCAGTCTGTTTTTCTTTTGGTTTCCTGTGTGTTGACTTCTCTCAAGCTGAGTTGGCTGAGATGGTAAAAATACACGTTTTTTGCTTCTTCTTTTTCCAGCTTTACTTTTCTTTGTTCATATTAATTTCCATCATATTCCACACTACTTATAGAGTCCGTGCTATGTGATGTATGAGGTGTACAATTTTAAGGTTATTTATTCATCTTAATAATTATATAAATGAATAAAAAAATATACGGGATATATATAGTACGGGACTTGTGCGAGACACGCGATATATTTATTTGGAGAATATTATATTATAAGATGCAATCTTCAATAAAAGTTTTATTATTACGCATGAAAATTATACAATAAAATAGTATTCAACAAAGAAACAATCATATATTATTAAAGACCCTATTGTACATAGATATTAAATAATTTACTAGTAAAATAGTGTATAAATTGATTACAATAACAAAACAACATGCTCACGAGATTAATAAAAATACTCAATGGATTGAAGATTTAATTAAATTAAACATTTAAATTAATTAATTTAGATTATTTGAAATTAGATAATACAAAAGTCTTCCAACATTGTTTTGACTTTAATAAATTACAGCATGAGTATACTTTAAATATATTAATATTTAAGGAACTTTAAACAAAATAGTTTTTAAAAAATTTGTTTTAGGGCACTTTAAACAGCATATTTACGTCACCCATAAAACAGATTATATTTCAACAACATAGTTATAGTATTATTTAAGGAATTTGAAACATCATTATTAAATATTTACGTCCACCCATAATTTTTATGTAAGTCGAAGATAATTAATCACATCTCTTTTTTTGTTTGTTTGTTTAATTTTTTTGACAAAACTGATGTCATAAATAAAATAATTAAATATTAAATAAATTAATTAAATAATATTAAAATAATATACTTTAGACAAATATATAATGCGAATAATCCTCTCATACCAAACAACGCGATTCAAAATTGGCTCATTTCCAGCAATCCTATCCAATATTTCATTAAAATAAATATTAAATAAAATACTTTGAACAAAAATTAGATAAGAAATTAAATAAGGAATTTTGAATCTGCCTTTTTTTTAGTATAGATAGACTTTACTGTACAATTTTGACTTCACTGATTTTATGGGATTTGTTTTGACTAAATCGATGTTATTATGGAATCAGAAAAATAAATAAAGTATTTTTATGGATTTATTTTCCTTAAACCAATTTTATGGAATATAAGACAAATAAATTAAATAATTAAATAAAATCTATACATATAAAGTAAGAATAACCATTTATAAAAAATGACAGGTCAACTATTGGTCAAATTCTCTCTATCATTAATTACTTACCATTGATGGCAATTTTTTTTTAAAAAAAAAAAGATATCACGGACAACATTAAAACCGAGATATATTGTTGAGTTGTTTCAGCTTTTAAAACTTTTTTTTTTTAGATTTTCAGTTTTTTTTTTTAATTTAAAGACACAAAATCCCTTATATGAAGGGATTTATATTGTTTCAGTTTTTAAAACTCCTTTTTTGTTTTTAGATACCAATTGCAGTGTAAATCAACTCTCATTTCGAATTTAACAATTCTTAAGTTTTTGTTGACATAAAATTGAATGAATATCTTTGATTAGGAAAAATAGTATTAGAGTTTATTTTATATAAATAAACTACTTCAAAATTAAATATTATTATACTAATTGCAACAATTTTTAGATTATATATCATTTCTTATTTTATATAATTAAATATTAAAGATCGATCATGTTAAAAAATCAGGCATAGTAACAAACTTTATATCTTCTCCTTTTGTATTAAAAAACTAATTGCAATGAAAACCGGATGCAATATTTAACTGATAATTTAAGTTTCAAAATGGGTAGAATAAATAATCGCATATAAAAGATATAAAATTTTTAAGTTTTTTTAATTTCAATATCCCTTAATATATGGGATAAGATCAGACAAATTATATTATCTACATATTGTGGTAATCTATTAAAACACGTGCTATACAAAATAGTATAAAAGAAACTGTAAAGCTTTATTTTTGTGCCGAAATTTCTTTTCACATATACCTAAATAGTGGCCCATTTTCACTATATGATCCCAATACTTTTTCAAAATAATAGGGGAAAAAAAATAATGCTTACAAAATATAAAAGATGTCAATTATTGTGTATCCACATATGTAAATGCAAAACCGTCAACAATTTTACAATAACTAAATAAAATTCCAATAAATTTATTGTGCATTTATTTCATTTTATTTTTATTACAAATCATATTCAATTTAAATTATGAAGTAAATATTATAAATTAGTACACCATAAATATGATTATATTTATAAATCTTAGTTATTAAACATTGGGATAGAAATTTGAAAATGTGTAAATTATGTATTATATTAAGAAAATTATAAAATTATACTTGTATATTTTATGTATTTTTATCTATTGAAACTATAAGCGGTATACTCGATCATACATTAATTATAGTTGCATCCTAATTTCTCTCAATTACTCATGTAAAAAAAANAAAAAAAAAAAAAAAAAAAGACAAATAACACAATGCTTAATTTTGGAAACATGTGTGAAATTTGTGAATCTATAATTACATTTTTTTTTTCAAAATCCATAATTTTAGGCTACATTTAATGCTTGCTAATTTGTTGTTTAAAAAAATTCAAAATATTTCCAAAAATAGCATGCAATTAATGTTGTTAGATTTTCTACTTACTATTTTTAATATATATATATATATATATATATATATATATATATATATAGATTTGTGATCAATTATTAATTTGCTTTTTTTTTTTTGCAAGTATTTTAAATTAGATTATAATACGGTGAGATATTACGGTTCCGTTACGGAATTATTCCGTTGGGGTTTGTAATTGTAACCGATAGATCAATTATCCTCGACGGTTAATAAACTAACGATTACAAAACCCGACGGAATGGTTGAATATATTACGGACTGAGCATTATCCGTTTATACGGTGTTTCTTCCCTTCCTTAAAAATACATTTTAAATATATTTTGTTGCCATATGATCCTATGATTTTTCAACATTATCCTTCATATTCAATCATGATTATATCCTTAAATCATGGAGCAAAATAGTAAAAGTTTCTATTTTATTTGCTTCTTTCTTGGATGGAATCAAGATTTGTTAATTTCATTTGGTATGTTATAAATTTCTACTTTAATTTCTAGTTGTCTGGACTAGTGGACTTTATAGAATCAACCACCCACCCATATTCAATTATAATTACTTGTAATATATGTCAAAATGAGAGGAATAATTTAATTCCCGACCCATAATATATGAAATAATTATCTATCTATTTTTTTAAACAAAAATACATTTTTATATAAAAAAATATAGTATACAGTAAGTATTTATATACTTGGAAAGCAATATCAAGCAGCCTTGCTTTGAATATAGAAATCAAGGACCAAACACAGTTAACTATCTTTAATGCTCTTTGGCTGATAAATTATTCTGATTAATAATAAATGTGACTCAAGTATGTAATAAGTATTAATGATTATTGCATTTTAATAATACTAAAAGTAAAATATAATCCTTCTTCTTTAACTAAAAAAAATAATAATAATTATAATACACCCCAACTTATTGATTTTCATGATGCTGCAAAAAGTAGTTACAGTTTTATTGGGTCTTATAATTCGTTCCTTAGTCTAAATAAAGAAAAATACTACCTCCTACTATTTTAATATATGTCGTTTTGAGAAGTTGCACATTAATTAAGAATATTTTTTTGTCAATAATAGAGAGGAATATTTTGAGAAAAAGTTAAGAGTGAATATGAAAAGACGTAATGTATTTGTTAGCTAAATGAAGGTAATAATGGAAAAATATGTAGAAAAGATCTAAAACGACATTTATTTGACAAATAGTTGATAAAACTAGAATGACATTTAAAAAAAATGAGGGAGTATATTATTTGTATTAATTATTCGCTCCTTAGTCTAAATCAATATATTCTTGTATTAATGTATGATACGTATATATCATGATGCTACGTTCATAATGCATCTAACTAAATAAAACAAATATTGAAAATAAAATAGCTGATCCCTATATTAAATGAAGGCAAAATGTCATATATTTGACCTATTTAGGAAGCTGATTGATGCTTGAGAACTTTAGTAAAATCAACTCTTAAGTAACTTCCCCGACAAGTTGTACTCGGCCCATCTATCTAGCCCATTTCGACCAAGAGTGCATCTTCTTGATTTATGGGCCATAAAGATGAGCCCAAGTTGTGAACATAAATGAGTAGACACCATATCATTACACTACCAAAAAAACTCTTACATTCCAACGAAAAACGTTAGAATTTTTTATATTTTCATTGGAATAGCTATTCCAATAGATATTCTTACGTATAAAAATCCGTTGGAAAAACGGCCGTTAGAATAGCAAATATCTAATAGAAAATCCTATATATGAAAATAAATTCCTACAGCTATTCCAACGGAAAAAATCCATTGGAATTCCTCAACTGTCCAACACTTATTCCAACATAAAATTAAGTTTGTTCGAATATTTATT